AACTAATTTTTTTTCCTTTAATCGTTAATCAAATTAATTTTTTGAAAATATTAATTGAACCTAGCTTTATTCATTTTATGTAAATCATTTTTTATAAAATTAATTATAGTGTATCAAACCATTAGTGAAAATGATTTACACAATATCATCAAAATACTGTAAAATAGTTTCTGAAAAATATTTTCCAAAAATATAATTCATTTTACGTAAAATAATTTTAGTGTAATAATTTATTTATGTAAAATAACATTCAGATAATTCATTTTACGTAAATTATTTTTAAAAAAATAATTACAGTTTATCAAACTGAGTTCTGCATCCCAATTATTGTTGTTGTGCATTATGCATATGAATGCATGAAAAATCTTCACTGTGGCTTGCTCTTTATTTTGTTTTAATTTAACTCACGGTCTGAGGTTTCTCCACCATCCACTGTTATTAATTGTACAACATTTATTGATTTAATAAACCCAAAGCCCATGTTATGTTTAGGGATAAGGATTAAGCGACAAAACCTATCCTCGTGTTGCGTGTTGTCTTAATCACGGGTTTTAAATTAATTAATTTGTTAATGTGCTGGTGGACACTGAAATGTGGCCTAATTGCCTCGTCCCTCATAAATTAAGACGCGATAATGGATAAGGAAGAATCGACATGTGTCTCACTAATTGCAACAACCTTAATTAATCCCTTTCCTCAATTATTATCCAGAGATTAAGGTTTTCACTGTTTGGTTTTAAATTGGAGTAAAATGATTTTGGACTATATTGACCGACTCTACTTTTGCTTTTTATTCTTGAAATTGTTTCACGGTAGTCTGGCAAGTGCTGTAATGGTGGTGCTCCTCTTTCCATTCTATTCAAGGAGGTCAACTAGTTGAGCAGAGTTTGAATATTTTTTTAAGTTAGATTTAGTTCAAAAAATTTTAAATTAATCTCGATAAGAATTTAAAATTATCAAAATCAACTTTTATTTAAAATCAAGAATTGAAACTCGACTTAAACTCAAAGTATTCTCAGATTTAATTCGGTTCAAGTTTAAACTTAAACATAAACCTTAGTATTTGAAAAATTCATGTTGAATTTTATTATATTATATATATATAAATATTATTAATAATTTAATTTAAAAATTTAAAAATGCAATATATATATATATATATATATTTTAATTAACTTGATTTTTGTGTAAAATAAAAATTAAAAAATGCAAAAAATGAAAAGAAAGAAAACATAAACCACATGCCTTCTCTTTTTGTCTATCCTTTTATTTGTTAGTACTATTATATTGGTGCAGCAACCACTAATCATTGCCGGGAATAAAAACAGATTGCATTTGCCAAAAGCCTAAAGCTCAACACTTTGTTATCCGACAAACCATTTCTTTCTTAATTATATTTACCAAATAAAACAAGTATGGCAATTAAGAAGAAAATGTGGGTACTGAATGAATTTAGATGTTCTGCAGAGTTTGGTTATCTGATTAGACAAGAGGCTACCACCCATTTAATCTTCCTCTTAAGGTTTGAAAAGAAAGCTTTCAGCTGCCAATGGCAGTGATGGGTGGCGTACGATTTTATTCATTCAAACATAAATATATTCCAAATGAGATAATATTAAATAATAAACACAAACATAATATTAAAACTTTTAAAAATATATAAATCAAACATAAATATATTCAAAATCTGTCTTTTACTGTGTGAACTGGAAAATATTTTTAATTAAAGAAAATAATTTTAGTGACCGAAAATACCTTATAATATACGATTTTAATTAATTTTTTTTATTTACAAAAATAACTAACAAATTCACAACGCGAATTCCAATTTCGCAACACAATTTTTAAAATCGTAACACGAATCTAAAAATTGCGTTGCGAATATTAGACGAGGTGAAGATTCCAGATTCTATGACTTTGTTCGCAACGCGAATGTTACTGTTCCAACACTTTCGCAACACAATTGAAATACTCTATCTCCTTTCGCAACACAAAATGGAAGCTGATTTTATGTTAACGCGGTAACCAGAGAGAGAAAGATAGAGAAAGGGCCCAAGCTAGAGCCGGCAACAAAGGAAAAACCAAGGACGATGGTTTAATCCCTGAACAACGCCGTGAAGGTTTCCTTTTTCTTTCTTTATTTGGTATTTTATTTTATTGTTATTTCTGATCTTTGCAATCGTGCCTTTTTGGTTGAATGGACAGAGATGGAAAGGCCTTGCAAACTGGTACATAAGAAATCAGTTCCATTCTTTATAAATAAAAACTGGGAATGTAAGGATCAACATCAATGACAATTAAACAAACACATCAAGTGCATATCGTTAGCCTTAAACGAGATAAGCAAAGACACTGAAAACCAAACTGAAAGCACAAACATATGATTCCCCAATCAACCAATAACACTACCTTTACCGTCCACCCTAAATCATCTCCCCGTCGTCACATTATTTCTTGTTTTTACTTCCGGTACCGCCGCCCGAAGTGTTCCCTCCAACCGCCGCCTGCGCCGCCTTCTTTGCCGCCTTTTCTTGCAAGGCCTTTCACGGCGTTGTTCAGGGGTTAAACCATCGTCCTTGGTTTTTCCTTTGTTGTCGGCTCTAGCTTGGGCCCTTTCTTGATCTTTCTCTCTCTGGTTACCGCGTTAACATTAAATCAACTTCCATTTTGTGTTGCGAAAGTGTTGTGAAAGGAGATTAGAGAGAGTATTTTAATTGTGTTGCGAAAGTGTTGTAACAGTAACATTCGCGTTGCGAACAAAGTCATAGAATCTGGAATCTACACCTCGTCCAATATTTGCAACGCGATTTTTAGATTCGCGTTGCGATTTTAAAAATTTACCTTGCGATTTTTAAATTTGTATTGTGATTTTTATATTCGTGTTGCGATTTTAGAAACTGTGTTGCGAAATTGAAGTTCGCGTTGCATATTTGTTGATTATTTTCGTAAATCTAAAAAAAATTGATTAAAATTGTATATTATAAAGCATTTTCGGTTAATGAAGTTATTTTCTCTTTTAATTATAGAATTTATTCCGAGTAAATTATCAAAAAAAAGGTAAATTATTCCAATGGTCACTAATATTTGGATAAGTTTTTGTTTTCACCACTGATGTTTCAAAAGTCATAAATCGGTCACTAACGTTATCGTTTGTTACAAATTGGTTACTTCCCTTTAACATGCGTGACAGAAAACACACGTGGACTGTTAACAACCGTTAACAGCTTACCTGGATGGTATAATTACACAAATAGTCCATGTTATTTATATATTCTTTCAATTTAATACTAATTTTAATAAATTAAAATCACACAATCGAAACACCTTCGGCTAGCTTTCCATCAATCAACTTTAATTTTAGCAATGCACTTAATAGTCCTTGTCCCGTCGATTACCTCGCGTCTATCCACCGTTGTCTACCGTCAAACGACAACGAGTCGGAGTCGACGAGTGAGGATTCAAACTTACCCGTTGATGTATTTTCATGCCAACATTTTTGGATGTACGAGTTCAAGGTGAGAAGGTACGTGCTTAAAAGGTCACAGGATTGAACCGAGTGTCCGTACGCCCACCCTAGTGAGAAGACCCGAAGAAGGGACCCTAGTGAGGAAGGTCTATTACTCCGAAACTGCTTGCCCTGACTTTCGCAAAGGAAATTGTAAAAGAGGCGATTCCTATGAGTTTGCTCACGGCGTTTTCGAGTGTTGGCTCCACCCTGCTCATTATCGTACTCAGCCTTGCAAGGACGGAACCAGTTGTAAAAGAATGGTTTGCTTTTTTGCTCACACGCCGGAACAGCTTCGGGTGTTCCACAGCAGAACCCGATAGGAAATGGATTCAGTTCAGGTAATTTGGATCATGTTGGTTCTCCCATGCGCCACCGTCAGGAGTTTGGTTCTTCACCAACTTCCATTTTGGCTTTGCCTCCTTTATCCCCATCTTCTAAATCACCTGCTACGTCACCCAGTGGCTCATTTAATTCGGTGAATGAACTTGGTGCTTCTATGCGAAGTATGCAGCTTGGTAACATGTTCCCAGGAACTGCAAATGGGATCGGGATTCGGTTCTCCTCGTGGTTCCACACTTCCACCCGGCTTTTGCAGATCTCTTTCAACTCCAACCCGTACACCGACTTAGTCTAGCCTCAGCAAGTGTGACTTCTGGGAATGCAACGCTTTCGAAGAGGAACCTGCGATGGAGAGAGTGGAGTCTGGGAGACTCTTAAGGGCAAGGATGTATGCGATGCTGAGCAAGGAAAATTCTCTTGGACGTTTTCAACCAACATGGTCGGGTCCTGATGTTGGATGGGTATCTAAGTTGGTGAACTGAAGTTGGTTCTTCGGAAAGGATTGGCTACTTGCCATCTGTTTTTATTTTACTATTGAAAGCAAAATGGTAATATATAGCAAAGAGTATGGTGTTTAAAAATACCCTATTTGTTATAATTTGTTTTTATAACTAATTTTAAATTTTTGATTTTTTTTTAAAGTCGTTGGATTTAAACATTTAATTATTTTGTATAAAAATATATCATTATTTATAAGAATTAAAAATAAATATATTTTAATTTATTAAAATTAGGACCAAATTGAAAGAATATATAAATAACATGGATTATTTGTGTAATTATACCATCCAGGTAAGCATGTTAACAGATGTTAACAGTCCACGTGTGTTTTCCGTCACGCATGTTAACGGCGAGTGACCAATTTGTAACAAACGATAACATTAGTGATCGATTTATAACTTTTGAAACATCAGTAAAACTTACCTAAATATTAGTGACTATTGAAGTAGTTTACCCAAAAAAAAAAAAGAAACGGTTGAGGAGTGTTAAAATGAATAGTCACGAGTAAGATAATGTGTTAAATTAAATAATAAAAAAACAGCACAGCACATAACCTGGAACCCGCGTGTTTTTGTTGTTGGGTGAAGTCATTGCAAGCCCCTCCTCCTCTCTCTCAAACTCAAATCCCAAGCCATAACATCAACTTATACAAGTTACTTTTCTTCTTTATTTCCGACTCATTTCATTTCTTCCTGCAATTATTCCCTGCTTTCCATGGCTTCCTTCATACCCAATCTCGATGCCGCCCCCGACACGTGTCCCGCGTTCAAACAGAGGAAACGAAGGATAATCGACAAAAAGCCTGCTTCCTCCCATTCGCATCAACGTAACCAAAGAAATAAGCGATGGCGAACGCAACGCGACCAGCACATCTACTCCTCCAAGCTCATTCAGGCCCTCCGTCGTTCTCGGAGTACCTCTGCCCCCAAGGAAATCCACGACACTGCTGACAGAGTCCTCTCAGTTCTGGCCAGAGGAACCACGCGTTGGAGCAGAGCGATCCTCACCGCTCGCAAGATGTCGAAACATAAGAAGGCCAAGGTCGTCGCCAATACGAGGTTGAAGAAGCCGGCGATTAACAGGGAGAAGAGGAAAACGCCTCTCGTTCAGAAGAAGTTAAAGGTCTTGGGACGTCTCGTTCCCGGTTGCCGGAAACTATCCTTCACGAACCTTCTAGAGGAAACTAGCGATTACATAGCGGCTCTCGAGATGCAAGTTCGGGCCATGACGGCTATCACCGAGTTTCTCGCCGGCGGCTAATCGGTTTTCGTCTAATGTCAACTCTTGAACAGGTGTTTATTATGAAATTTTTTTGGAAACTGTTTTTTGAGTGAGATTTTTAAATTCCTGTAATTTTGTGTATACATGACTTTTTCCTCTTTCTTTTTGAGCTCCAGTCGTGATGTTTATTTTATTTATTATTATTTTGGTCTTTTAAGCTAAGCAAGGCATCATTTAATAATCATATTAATTAATTGATTAATAAAATATAACGTACTAATGCCAGCTAATTTTTGGTTTTGGTGGAATAATAAAGTTTTTGGTTTCTTTATTCCATGGTTTTTGTTTAGTAGTCGTATATTAATTTAATATTAAAAAGAAGGGTAAGATCAAATAACAAAATCGTCATTAAATTTTCAAAAACAAATTGTCACTAAAAAATAATTTTATGATTATGTTGATTAATTTTTTATTTTTTATAACTAGTATATGATTTATTGATCGATTAATCTGTATTAAGTATTGCAGAGGTGAGGATGACCTTACCAATATGTTTTGTTCTATTTGTAAAAGTTAAGATTCGAACATTTGACATTACTTAAAGGATCTAATAAGATTTGATCGATAATTTAATAAGAAACAAATAGTGGTGGTATTAAGAGTGCTATAACATTCTTATAAGATTTAAATATTCATATAAATTAAATATTTTTATTGATGATTTAATTTTATATCTTTAAAATTTTATAATTTTATCTTATTTAAATTTTTATTATAATTTATTAAATTTATATTCATCTATATGAAATCTTATGATTACCTCTAAATTTAACAAAATTTTAAACAATTTGTTATACATCATAATGTTTACAAGATATGAAATAAAAATGAAATAAACCATCCAACAAGCCTAACTAATCACTTGTTTGCCACTCATTTTGTTGGTTCAATTAGTTGGAGTGGAACCAAAGCCCCACCCCTCCAATGGCTTGCATGTGCCCTTCTTCACATTATCAAAATGAGAAAATTTTCAAAACCTTTAACATTATTTTACTATTTTTGAGAAATACCCAAAAGCTAGAAAGGAAGATTAAGCTTTTTTAATTGAAATTTCCAAAATGCCTATAAAACAAAGTTGAATGAAAATTATTTTTTTAATAAAAAATTACCTATTTAATATAATCATTATATGGATGGTTATTTTATTCATAGATTGTAATACCCCAAATTTTGACTACTGGCTAAATTGTAAGTTTTTAAAGTTTGATGGCAAAGTATAAACTTTGTAAAAGTTTAAGGACCAAAATATAATTTTGAAAAGTTATATATTTTAGCCCAAAAGAATAATTTGGCCTAAAACAATATTTTTCGTGGGAATCGGATTTTCGGTATGAGATTTGTGTAAAGCTATAAAGAGATAAAGTTCGGTATAGAAATCGGATAATCAAATCAAATCAAAATTTCACAAAAAATATAAGGATGATAAATAAGGGTTGGAAATATTATTTTCATATTTTAGATCAGATAAATTTAACACATATCAATGCAATTTTTTAGATTTGACTGAACAGTGGAAATTAGTAACCAAAATGCAATTTTTGGAAATTTGCAAGGGCAAAGATGGAAAGTGAATTTTTATTTGTTCATCTTTGACTTTGGAATGTTATAATGAATGATAATGCAATGACAAGTTGAAATTATCGTGTTTCGTTAAGGGTAAAATGCTAATTTCACATTAATTGAATTTTATATTCAATCATATTAATTTATGACATGTGTATTAGTTAATATAGATAGAAAACCTGAAAATTTCTCTCTTCTCCTCCAACAAAACTATGAGGACCATAGCAAAAAGAGGTAATAATTTGCAAGCTTATTTTTAAGCTCATTTGATTGATTTTTGGATTAAGCTATTAGATAGAGAATTAATCTACATGAAATTCTCTATCATTTGGTATAAATATTTCATGGTGATCATGTCTATTTGAAGAGATTGAAAATTAGGGTTTATGTAGGTTTTGTGATTTTGAGGGTTTGATAAAGGATTATTATGTTTTACGTTGTAGATTAATTCTAAAGTATGTGTGATGATTTAAATTATGTGTATAAGCCTAAATGATTTTTGACCTAATTAGGGTTTATGGAGAATTGTTGAATTTTGATGTAATTTGATGTTGTGATGATTAATTTAACATGATATTGAGGTAAGGAAGTTGAATTCATGCTTGAAATTGAATGGAAATCAAGTTCTAGTTGTATAGGTAGGCTTGACCATAAGGGAAAATGTTGAAAATTTTCTTATGGTTTATAATTGATATTAGAAGTGGTCTATGTGATTTGGAGATTAATTTGGAACATTGAGATAGTAAAAGAGCTAATTTACAAGTTTTGAGAATTGTGGGATATTATAGCAAGAATGTGATAATTGGGGTGTTCAATGTTGAATTTTAATTATGCAATGCTGGAATTTTAAGTTGGAAAGTTGTTTGGAACCAAATTGCAAATTTGGTAAATTTCAAGGTGGAATTTGAAAGGTTTTGACACTTTAAGGACTTAGTTGCAAGCTTATTAAATGTGAAAGTATCAATTGGGTAAAATATTACATAGCTGGAAATTTTATTAGTATGCTTATTTTTGAGTTTAAATATTGAGTTGTGACCAAATTGCAAGTTTATAAGGATGAATGATTAAATTTGAAAGTCTAAGAAAGTTTAGGATGAAATTGTAAGTTTTTGAAAGTTAAAGTATGTATTTGATTATTTCATTAAGGTGCTAGAAGTTTTATTAATTAATGTGCGACATTGTTTTGAAAACTGGACCGGACGGTTCAACCGGGAACCGTTGTCTAGTCCGGTTCAATCTAAACCGGTTGAACCGCTACTAATGAACCGGCCAAAACCATTGAACCGTTTGAACCGGACCGGATGAAAATCGGAAAAAACCAGAAATTTTGTTTTTTTTAAAAAAAAATTAAACCAAACATCATTTGTTAAACGAGCCAAGTCGAACTCGAGTATTGCTGAGCTCGACTCGAACTTGAAAACTTTAAAAGTAAGCTCAACTCCACTCAAACTTACAAGTTAAAAATTATCAAGTTCAACTCGAACTCGAAATATAATATTGAAACTTGAACTCAAAAAGGCTTGAACTAAAAAAAATTAGAAGCTCAATTGAAGCCTAAAATTCGAGCTAGATTGAAGTGAAAGAATAATTCACTCAATGCTCACCAAAAGGCTCCATGATTTTGAATGCTAAATTACCTCTATTATTTATAGAAGTTAGTTGTGATGCTCTTCTATGTTTCTTAGCAATGTGGGATTGTTTTGTTCTCATATTTTTACTCTTTAGACTTTTGGGATGATCTTCTATGTTTCTTAGCCATGTGAGATTGTTTTTAAAAAAAAAACTAAACCAAACAATATCATTTTGTTATGATTTTTTTAGCCCTAAATTTTTTTTATTATAGTTATATAATTATATTTATTATTTAATATGTTTTACCTTAAATATTATGTTGTAGTTAATTTGAATCATTTTGTTTCACTTGATTTTATGGTTTTTAATTTATATATGTTATGACTTGCTTTGAATATGACTTGTGATATAAAAAATTATTTTTTATTAAATAATTTTGGTATTTTTATTTAATTTTTTAAATAATTATGATGTCGTCCGGTTCTTCCGACCGGTTGAACCAATGAACATGTAGCATGGCCAGTTCGCTAACCGGTCTGGTTCTGAAAACCATGATGTGCGATGATCATAATGGTGAAGGATCATTATGAATTTAATGGAAAAGTTAAGATGAATTCTAGAAAGAATTCATAATTAGTGTATTGATTGTGTAATTGGCACAAGTTGAGGGGTCGATAGTGGAAATAAATATTTATATAATTTAGTGAATATTTTGAGAAGTTTGAAATTACAATGGAAGTATGATTTAGTTTTATATCAATTTAAGTATCGATTTTATTTCTATCGAATTTTATATTTAAGTTTGGATCATGTTAGTTCGATATTATCATGTAGTTGAATATGTTATGTTATTATGTTACATTGTCATACTACGATTAATCTAGCGTTCCTAATGACTCAAAAGGAAAGGAGAAAGCCCGTGAATAAGAAGTATCATATAAAGTTCGGTAGTATGACAAAGGTGAGTGATTTCATTTGTATTTATGTTATCGAATCAACATTGGCTTGCGATGAGCCAATGTCGGAGTTACTATGGTAAGATGTGACTCCTAATGTTATGTAAATTGTGATTCAAGTCTATATGTTCTTTTGGTATGTAATAGAATTATGGAATAAGTTAAGGATGCTAATTAAGTAAAGCTGTCTAGAAATTATTATTTGAATAGTAAGTTTAGAAAATCACAATAAATTATACAGAAATGATTATAGGATGATCTTTATACTGTTAGATTCGTATGTCAGTCTAGTTTTGTTTAAAATAAATGTCTACTGATTTTGAGTTGTATATAAAAAGATATGAATTTTTAATCGAGTATAGGTCAGAAAACAAGGCAACAGATTCTGCTCAAAACAGTTTTAGTGAGCCAGCTTTGAAAATTCGCTATAAATTTTACAAGATGAACTAGAAGAAATGCCTTATGTGGTTAGATTCATATTCGAGTCTAGTTTCCATTGGTATAAATAGAATAAATTTTAAGTATGTATATTAATACATAATGATACTTCTTTGAAGGTAGTGTAAACTACGAGAGTATGAAATTTCGATAGACTTTGTAGTAGAAACAATAAAAAGTAAAGGATTAAACCTAAAACTTAATGAATATTATATTTTGATTTATAAGTAAAGTGTTGAAATGAGTATATTTTATTTATTAATTTATTTTAAACGAGGACAATTTGTGATAAGCCAACCGCACTTTATTTTTCAAGTATGTTTTATACTTTAACTATGAATTATTTTCATAATGTTTAATGAATATTTTATGAATGATTTAGGGTATAAACTGCTCAAGTTTATGTTTTATGAAAATGACTTAAAAATATTTCTAATTCTGAAAGGTTGATTATTAAATGATAATGATATGATCTAAAAGATCATTGTATGTTGCATTGAGAGTCGTCGTTACATTTGGCATGCCATTAAGTTGAGTACTTTTCATTTCAATTATGATACGTTTGTGTACATTATGAT